CACTAAGGATGTCCGACTGCAGCTTAGGTCTGCTCCCCGCTGGCAAGTGGACATCCCCCGAGGGCTGCCGGGCTGCCAGAGGGATGTCTGATTGCCAGCTTAGGCCCAATCCCCCGGGAAGCAGGCCTAAGCCAGCAGGTGGTCATCCCCCGAGGGGTCCCAGACTGCGAGAGGGCACAGGCCGGGCTGAGGGACTTCCCCCCGCCCCCCCGAGTGCACAAATTTTTGTGCACCGGGCCTCTAGTATATAAATATTAACTTGAGGATTACATATTATGGAGAGGTTTTTATTTTTCCTTTGCATAAGTGGTGGAAAGTGGTGCAAAGTGTCTGTTACAATGCAAAAGTAATTCAATCATGTAGATTCCCTTCTACATCAAATCAGTAAGGATACCTAACCAGGAAACAAGGGAAACTTAAGATCAATTGCAATAAAACAGAATCTAAACATAATTCTCATTTTCATATAGTTTAACTTTCATCAGTGTCTGCCTATTGCCTACAATGAATTTACCTGAGCTAAATTAGGGATTGAATTTTGACCAGTCTGGGCCTGCATATTTGCAGTTTCTCTCTCTGTCACAGAATCTGTTACACTTCCATCCTGTTGAGATTCAATTGTTTCCATGGTCATTTGTCTGAAAAGACAGTAAAAAGGAAGAAACATTAAGGTCTTATCTGAAACATTTCTCTATTTTTACCTATCTTTCTGATACTCATTTCTGTCATCCAAATGTACTAGTTTATTTTTTCAAGAAATAATTTTATTTGCAGAGTCCCAACTCTCCAAACTTAAGGTATTTCCTCTGCTTAGTGAATATGGACTGCAAAATGTTTTATGGAAATTAGTTTATTAAAAATGTTTTGAATCTTATAGTAAAGTTTCCTTAATAATTATTTTAAGCCCTATAGTATAAATAAGTGATAAAAATCAGTGTTTTTGTTTTACATAAAATCTATGATTCTCAAGGCCAAATACATCTGCTTTATAATTTGATGTAGTATGAAAGAATTTTGCAACTATCCAAATTGAATGCATTATAATCCTATATAATAAAAGGCTAATATGCAGATAGACCAAACGGCGTAACAACCGAATAACCGGTCGCTATGCTGTGGGCTGACCACCATGGGGTGTGTGCGGACCATGGCGGGTGTCGGTAGCGGCTGGCTAGTGGAGCAGGTGAGCAGGGGCACCAGACCAAGGCAGGGCACCAGTCGCTGTCATTGGGGCGAGCCTCTGGTAGTTACTGAAAATTCTTTGCTCCCGCAAGCACCGCGGTCCTGCCCAGAGCTCGCACCCACTGCCAGCGCCAGCCCCGCTCACACCTGCAGCCAGCACCAGAGCTGCTGCTCACACCTGCTGCTGGTGCCCGGCACCAGTCCAGATCACTCGGCACTATCAGCGGGTGCAAGCGGTGGCTGCCAGCCCTGATCGCCCCTGAGGGCTTCTCCATTTCCCCCTGCTCCTGAGGAGCGATCGGGGCTGCAGCCGCCACTTGCACCTGCTGCTGGCACTGGTCCCAATCGCTCTGGTCCATCAGCGGGTACGAGCAGGGCCAGTGCCATCAGTGCGTGGGGGCAGCAAGAGCGGGACTGCTGGCAGACAGGAGACCAGGGGCCGAGCCAAGAGAGGCTGGGCGGGGGTGCAGAGGATGGGCCTAGACCCGCCCCTGTGCCCACCTCAGCCTCATGGCTCACAGTTCCTTTCAAGGTGCACAAATTCGTGCACTGGGCCCCTAGTCTATAATAATAAAAGCATAATATGCTAATTAGACCAGATAGCCGAACAACCTTCTGGACATCATTCCGGATGAAGCCGCGGTGGCAGGGCCCGAGGCAGAGGCAGTTAGGGGCGATCAGGCAGGCAGAGTGGTTAGGGGCAATCAGGCAGGCAGGCAGGAGAGCGGTTAGAAGCCAGCAGTCCCGGATTGCGAGAGGGATGTCTGACTGCCGGTTTAGGTCCTATCCCGCAGGAAGGGCCTAAACTGGCAGTCGGACTCCCCCAAGGGGTCCTGGATTGAAAGAGGGTGCAGGCTGGGCTGAAAGACCCCCCCCCCCCCGCCGTGCACGAATTTTGTGCACAAGGCCTCTAGTATAATAAAAGACTAATATGCAAATTGTCCCCGCGGGCGGGAGTTCAACTGACCGGGAGTTAGACGTGCGCTGACTACCAAGGGGCAGTGCACAACATGGCAGGCATAGGCAACGCAGCACTGGCAGTTGGTGGCAGTGGAGGAGCTGCCAGCCCTGACAGGCCCCGACAAGAGTGGGACCGTGGTGGGATGGTGGAGCAGGTGAGCAGGTGGCGCCAAGCCAAAACAGGTGCTAGCAGGGGACCCAATCGCCGTGCCAGTCACCCCAAAGACGGCGACCGATGGCGGGGGTGGGGCCAGCAAGGCGGGTGCGAGCGGGGGCCCCTATCACCCCATAGATCAGCCCTGATGGCCGGCCAGGCCTAGGGACCCTACCTGTGCACAAATTTCGTGCACCAGGCCTCTAGTTATAATATAAAGGTGTACCTAGCTTTGTCAGCACTAAGTAGTTTCCAATAAACAAGCCTCTCAAATTAAATCAAACAGAATTGACCACCTGTCCTGCAGCTCCCCAGTTACTTAAAGAAGAGAATCTAATTTTTTTCCAGGAAAAACTTTTGTATTATTGTTTTCGATTTAAGTTAATGATTTCTACATGGAATCTTTCCAGACAGAAGGTAAGCCTTACCAGAATAAATTTTACCCTACTAAAAAGTTAAAATGCAAACAAAATAAACAAACTCAATTTTTTATTCCCTGCTATTGTACATCTTTCTTTTAAATATATTTTTATTGATTACAGAGAGGAAGGAAGAGAGCGATAGAAACATCATTGATGAGAGAGAATCACTGATCAACTGCCTCCTTCACGCCCCCTACTGGGGATCGATCTCACAACCCGGACATGTGCCCTTGACAAGAATCAAACCCCAGACCCTTCAGTCCACAGGCTGATGCTCTATCCACTGAGCAAAACCAGCTAGGGCTATTGTACATCTTTTTAATTGTCAGTAATATAATGATTTTTTTTCATCTTAGAAGTCAAAATATGTATCCAAAAAGTATGCAGACCACTTAGAACTTTGAATTAAAATGTCCAGATCTTTTTGCCAGATTTAATTAGTTGCCAGATCCTACAGTTAAAGTCTTTCACTTAATACCTTCTTTTGCATTTCAACAGCCACTACCTACCTGAATTCAAGCCTGCCTTTCTCAAACTTGCGGGCTATAGTCTATCGAGCGGTCGCCAACTGGTGGTCCGTGAGGTCCGAAAGGTTGGTGACCGCTGGAGTTGCATTTTCCGCTAAAAACCCTTTTCCACAAAGCATGTCCTAGCAGTAGTATTTTGGAAACAACTTGAGAAATGCTGTCTTATGCTATTTCTTACAGCTTTATTAAAAGCTCTCAAGAATTTGAGTCTCAACTTAAACATGACATTACTGAAAGGCCTTCCAGAGTAAACTCAATTCATTTTAGGAACACTCATTTAGCACCACCTACATGATAGGCCTGAAAATACAAAAGTGGGTTAGTTACAACCCATGCCCTGAAGGGATTCATTGACTAGTTGATCCTTGGTTTTGCAAATACAGTACTTGTGTTACAAGATTCCAGGGCAGGGGAGATAGGGAAACTGAGACAGGAAAGTTAAAACAGGCCAAACAGTGTGGGCAATTTGCAGCCAGCTTGTAACTAACAAGCCATTATCTTCCCAGCCAAGAACACAAAGTAAATGGTTAAAGAAACCACCTTAATGAGAGAATGCAGAAAGAGAGGGGTAAAAGGAAAAGGAAAAAAGGGAAGTTTTAGAGAAGCCAGCAATCTCAAGACCTGGCAAGATAAAGTTGCCAGGTGTTTCTCATGATTACTGGGAAGGCCACAACAAAGTAAAAAAAAAAAAAGGGGGGGGGGGGGGGGGGGTGGGGGGAAGAACTTGAGAATTAATTTCTACCAAAATATTCAGCAGAGGAATTTTGAGGCCTATAGACAAGAGGGTATATAACACCTCAGACCCCAACCCATCTTGCTCTTCAGATTAGCAGAGAGCCTGTCTGAGCTTCATAAGCCAGATGTATAGGTTTACTTGCCTTGCTTTTTCAATAAAAGTGCATGCTTTAATTGCGTTAATAAATTGGCTTTTCACAACACAGTCAAGGTCTCTCGTATAAATTTATATATGAGAAGACAAGGATGGAGGTTGGGGACAGCCCTCTCCCACTGACTCTGGGGCTGTCCTGTCTGGTAACACTTCTCTGGTGTCAGTGAGAGGTGCCTATACCACTTGGACAACCTAGATCAGAACTAACCACAATACTTGTTGAAAATAATAATAGTAATGCAGATCCCCAGGCTCAACCCCAAATCTACTGAAACAAACTTTGAGGATCTAGTTTTTTATATCAAAGAGATTCCGATGTACATTAAAATTTGAGGAAAACTTAGTTTATTGGTAAATTCTATCAGGTAGACCAGTAATAAATATAAGTAAACTTCTTAAATTGTATGAAGGATGTTATGTATGAAATGATTTGGGAAATTTAGAAGGAAAAGGTTTAGTCTGCCTGAGGATGGGGCCATGAGTTGTATATTGAAGGATGAGAAGGATTTCTTTCATCAAGTAGAAAAGGAAAGGACTGTGAGGAAGGGAAAGTTCAGAGTATGTTTAGAAAATATTATAGCTGGTTGTGGTAGAGTATCTGGATGACAGGGTAGCCTATTTAGATTTAGGGGGAGGAAGAGGAGGACGAGGATAAGGAAAAGATGGTCTGGTAAGTTTGGATGGAACAAGATGAAGAATAGCTTTTATACCCTGAAGAAAAAAAATATCCACCTCACTCAGATATCTCCTGTTATAGGTCCTTCAGTATCTATGGAACCAATCTATATTGTATAAAGTTTCAATTACTTAATATCTACACAGAATTCAATCAAGAAACAGACAATAGCCCTAGCCGGTGAGCATCAGACTGTGGGCTGAAGGGTCCCGAGTTCGATTCTGGTCAAGGGCAACCCAGGTTGCATGCTCAATCCCCAGCCCTGATCGGGGCCTGTGTGGGAGGCAACCAATCAATGTGTCTCTCTCACATCGATGTTTCTCTCTGTCTCTCCCCCTCACTTACACTTTTGCTAAAAAAATCAATGAAGCCCAGTCTGCATGGCTCAGTTGGTTGAGCATCAACCTATGAACCAGGTTATGGGCTCGATCCCCAGTGTGAGGCATGCTCCCTCTCCCTTCCTCTCTGAAATCTATAAAAATATATTTTTTAAATCAATGAAAAAATATTCTTGGGTGAGAATTAACAAAAAAAAAAAAAAAAGCAAGAAAAAATAAACAGAAAATAAGCAAAGGTTACCCATTAACAGCCAAACAGATGGCCCAAATCCACACACTAAAACTTCTGAATGAAGAGAACCTCTCCCAGTCCATACTTCAAACCCAGTCATTTTTATTTCAAATACAATCCTCGTTTATCTGGTTAATAAATATACTCAATATAAGACAATGGGGGTTGCTGGGGAAAAACTATAAAATATAATAAACATTTCAAGAATTCCAACTGTGGCAATTTGGGTCCATACAGGGTAAAATTGCCTAGTTCTTT